CCCCTCATCCTCCCCCTCGCCCCACCCCCTCATCCTCCCCCTCGCCCCTCATCCTCCCCCTCGCCCCTCCCCTCATCCTCCCCCTCGCCCCACCCCCTCATCCTCCCCCTCGCCCCACCTCCTCCAACCCTCTCGCTCCTCCCCCTTCTCGCACCTCCCTCCCCTCCTCCCTCCCCATCTCTCCACTGGGGGGGAGGGGGGTCTCACTCACACGGGGGCTGGGTGGTGTAGGGCAGTGTGTCAATGTGTGTGTGTCTGTGTGTGTCAATGTGTACAGAGTTAGACTGATGGCCTTAATCTAAGTTGTCTTGTGGTTGTTGTTGTTGTTTGACTTGCATCCCACTGGGATTTTTGCACACAGCGTTGGTGTACGGTGTTTTTTCTGCAATATTTTTGCTGTCTTTTCTTGAATTTTCTGTTTGCACTTAGTCACATATTCACTTTAAGATGTTTTCTTGTTCATGTTTTTTTGTTTGTTGCGGTTGCACCCGATTCAAGAGCCGAATGGCTCACAGGGCTATACCTAATACATGATCTTGAACTTGAAGCACACCGCTACACCAGATGCTCCACCAAACCACCGAGACCTCGGCCGTGAGCCGTGGTCCTTCTGTGACGTCAGTCGTCTTGGGGGTCTCGGCCGAGTTCGTCGTGACGTCACCCATCGGTTTCCAGGAAGACGTCGGCGGAGACTCCCTCCTGTAGAGAAACTACGACACCCCCCACCCACCCAGCACCCCCCACCCCCACCCCCCAGCACCCCCCCATCACCCACCCCTAGCACCCCCACCCCCCCAGCACACTCCCTCAGCACCCCCCACCCTCCAGCTCCCCCACCCCCCAGAACCCCCATCCCCCCACCCCCCCCATCACCCCCACCCACCCCTAGCACCCCCCCCCCCCAGCACCCCCCCACCCCCAGCACCCCATCACCCACCCCTCCATCACCCCCCCCCCCTAGCACCCCCACCCCCCCATCACCCCCACCCACCACCGCCCCTCAGCACCCCCACCCCCCCAGCACCCCCCCCCAGCACCCCCACCTCACCACCCCCCCAGCACCCCCACCTCACCCCACCCCCCCAGCACCCCCACCCACCACCGCCCCTCAGCACCCCCACCCCCCCAGCACCCCCCCCAGCACCCCCACCTCACCACCCCCCCAGCACCCCCACCTCACCCCCACCCCCCCAGCACCCCCACCCACCACCGCCCCTCAGCACCCCCACCCTCCCCAGCACCCCCCCCATCACCCCCACCCCCCCACCTCACCACCCCCCCAGCACCCCCCCCTCACCCAGCACCCCCCCATCACCCCACCCCCCAGCACACACCACGTGCTCTGTACGAGTCCAACGCCATTGTTTACGATGACGCCCCCCCGCCCCCTCCCCCGTGTGACGTCAGCCGGGGAAATCCCAGCGCGCGAGCAGCGTCGGAGATCCACAGCGTCACGCGGACAGAGTCACAAAAGGGGGTGTGTGTACACGCGTGTGTGTACCTGTGTGTGTGTGTGTACCTGTGTGTGTGTACCTGTGTGTGTGTACCTGTGTGTGTGTACCAGTTGTGTGTGTGTACCTGTGTGGGGAGCGGTAGTGTAGCGGTTAGCGCGCTGCGCTATGACCCTGGCGACCCGGGTTCGATTCCCGCTCACGGCCAACACCAGTGACGATTATCTGAACCGGTCCTGGGCCTCCCCTAGGTCGACTCAGCCTTAAATGAGTACCTGGTGCGGTGTGTAAACATCGCCACTAAGGAGACAAAGGCGGTCGGGCGTGGTGCTGGCCACCCACCCCCTCGTGTACCGTTCCGGCCTTCATAGGTGCTCGCTAACAGCACTTGCCCCTACAGTCTGTTAAGGCTATACGGGGGATCTTTGTCGTGTGTGTACCTGTGTGTGTGTACACGTGTGTGTGTGTACACGTGTGTGTACACGTGTGTGTGTGTACACGTGTGTGTGTACCTATGTGTGTGTGTACCTATGTGTGTGTGTACCTATGTGTGTGTACACCTGTGTGTGTGCCGATGACTGGTACCAGCGGTGTCAAGATCGGCCTCTGTGGAGGAGGCTCGTGAAGGACGCTACTGGGCAGTTGGAGGCAGTCGCCCTCCAACAACAACGGAGGGCGGAGGAGCGACGCTCACAACAACGAGCGGAGCGCCGGGTGGCTAAAGCACAGTAGGGGGCACAGGTGGTGCATCAGCCAGTCATCTCGGTCAGTCGACCCGTGGCACCTGGGTCTGCCCCGTGACCTCCTGCCAGCGGGCTTTCGACACTTCACGTGGCCTCAAGGTGCACTTGGCCTGGCACAAGCATCGTGGTGACGTCACCGCCACTTAGTGGCGAATGGCGGTTGTTGTTGTGTACCAGTTGTGTGTGTGTACGTGTGTGTGTGTGTGTGTACACGTGTGTGTGTGTACACGTGTGTGTGTCTGTACCATGTGTGTGTACCTGTGTGTGTACACCTGTGTGTGTACACCTGTGTGTGTGTGTCTGTGCAGGTGCGCGTGCTCCTGTCTGGCCGGATGTAGTCCTGCAATTGTCAGTAGTAGATCCCCTCCCCCGTCTCCTCCACCTCCACCACCATCTCAACTTCATGCTCCACCTCCTCCATCTCCACCACCTCCTCCTCCATCTCAAGCGAACCTACAATAGGCGCTTTCTGATTCTCTCTGCCTACTCTTCCACGTTTCCCAGCCCGACATGTTTGAGATGAGTCTGCCCCCACCACACTTCACCCTCGCCGCACGCTCCCAACCCATTCATAAACTTGCCCTGTGGGGGGTCGGGGGGGTGGGTGGTCAGGAGGGGTGGGGGGTCAGGGGGTCGGGCGAGTGGGGGGTCGGAGGGGGGGGGGTATTTATGAAACGTGGAACCCACGACCTCCTGTACACCAGGCGAGGTCGTTAACATCTAAATCTCGTGGCATTACTTCCTCCCGTCCGTCCCCCACCCAACAACATCTGACCATAAGTTCTACCTTCTCCATGGGGTTTTTAGTTTCTTCAAGTAAAATAAAATACTTCTGGTAACAACAACAACAACGACTTTGGCCGAATGTGAACGCGTGTCCATTCTGCCAAAGCGATCTCGCTCCGCCTCGCTCTCTCTGTTTCGTGTCTCTCTGTGTCTCTCTCTGTCTTTCTCGGTCTCATATCTCTGTTTCGTATCTTTGTCTCTCTGTCTCTCTCTCTCTGTCTCTCTCTGTGTCTCTCTCTGTGTCTCTCTCTGTGTCTCTCCGTCTCTCTGTCTCTCTCTCTCTGTGTCTCTGTGTCTCTCTCTGTGTCTCTCTCTGTCTCTCTCTGTGTCTCTCTGTCTCTCTGTCTCTCTCTCTGTCCCGTCTCTCTCTGTGATGGGAGACTATTTTGGCGGCGTGGAAGGTTGGAACTGCCGAGATTCGACCGGCAGTAGAGGGGGTCGCCGTTCCAGATTTGTCAAAATATATTTGATGTTTACTTTTTATATTTAACGTTTTTTTAATATTTTATGTTTATTTAGTTTTATATTTGACGTTTATTTTTATATTTGATGTTTTTTTTAATGTTTGACATTTATTTTTGTTTATATTTTATGTAAATGTTTTATATTTGGTGTTTTTTTATTTGATCGGCCTCCAAGGGGCCTCCAAGGGGCCTTTAGGGGCCTCCAGCGGCCTCCATCGCACCACGCGCGGCATTGCAACGTCAGCACTCTGCGGTGGCGCAGGTGGAGCGGTGGCGCAACGGTTAACGCACTTCACCACCTTCCACCTGCACCAACCCGTGGTGAAGCAGTGTGGTGAAGTATGGTTAAACACCACCCAGCGGCTTCTCCAGCCACGGAGAGTCCCCCTCCAGAGGATGGGTTTGGCCTACTCTTCCACGCTAGCCAGACGTTTTTGGAATAGGTGCAGGGAACCCACACTTTACACCACGCCAGCCGCCCATGGAAGTATCTGCGATGTACCTAGGCCTCGGCAACGTAAGGTAAAAGTGTAAAAACAACGAGCCTACCTTTACCCTACCTTTTACCGTACCACAATACAATCACTCTACCCTACCTTTTACCCTTTAGCAGGTAAGGTAAAAGTTAAAAGGTAAAAACGAGCCTACCTTTACCCTACCTTTTACCGTACCACAATACAATCACTCTACCCTACCTTTTACCCTACCCTTTACCCTTACCCCTTAGCATGTCGACACCTTTACCTTTATCCTTTCACCCGGTAAAAAGGGTACAATTACCTTACCTTGCCGAGGCCTAGATGTACCGACGATTTTTTAATGATTGCCCAATGTTGCAGCTGCCATGCCGGGAGATAGATTTCTCACACGGACTCTCTCTCGAGACCTCTGGATTTCAATTCCAGCGTCGTTCATCATGACACCCTGAAGCTTCACGTCTTTGTCACTTCATGTGTACACAGCATATCATGCCGTCACGTGAGCCGCTATCAGTTACCTTAATAAGGCCACGTGGTATGCCTGTCTCCTCACTTTACAAGTGTAATAAATGCCACAAAGGGGGACCCAGCCTCAATAATAATAATAATTTAGCATCGCCAACAAAGCATGGGGCTCGGAGACTGACTGTCACCTAATCTGATGGGTTGGGGTTTTAATTAAAAAGGACTGGAACCCCCCCCCAAAAAAAATGTATTATATTATTATATTATTATTCCTGACAAAGGACGGGTGCACGGTGATACGGCAACGCTGGTTGCACGAATGCCTCTTTTTTTTGGAAGTGAATTCCGAGAAGCCAAATCGCTCGCCAACTCGCACGCAGAAGGGGGAGCCGCAGGGGCTGGGACGAGAAGTTGGTCAGTGGCTCCGAATCCCAATGACGTGCGGTGGCTCGCGCTCGCTCCGCGCGTCGGCACTGATCCGGTCCTGGGTTCCAACAGGTGCGTCACGGGGAGAAACGCATCGACCGTGGTGGCGGGTGGCGTCGGCGCGGGGAGGGCCTTTACCTAGCAGCGGATAGATCACGGCTGGCGATGACTGATGGCGACGACGACGACGATGATAATGGGATAACGCGTGCCGTCGTAACACTGCGACAAGGTCTTTGCTAACATGCGCCGGGTTGAATTATAGTACGAAAACACAACTCAACACAAGCTCAAACTGCCCTGTGTTTATTTGATGAAGGCAAGTAGCTGAATTAGTTTTACAAAACGAGATCGCCGCAGGCATCGTGCATCGCGATGCAACCAACAGCGCCGTCTTTACTGCCGCGTCACGAATAAAACTGCAGTGTAATGTAGTGTGATTGTCGCCTCTCCGCACTCAAACGACACATTCACCGCATCTCAAAAATGCATTTATACAACAGCAAACACCGTCAACAACACCGCCGGAAAGGAAACACACACGTATAACGGGCAACGTTTCAGGCAATGACCCTTCTCTATAGCAATGGTTCACCTTCATCGCACGTGAAGAAGGGCCGTCGCCAAAAACGTCACCGCTTACACATCCTTTCACTTTTTCAGGCAAAAGTGTTGTTGTTGTTGGTGAGTATGTTGAGTTTTGTTATTGTTGATTGTGCTGTGCAACGCTGCCAATACAGCAGCAGCAGCATCGCCACATGATTCATACAAACGAAATATTAAAAGACAAAGATCCCCCGTGTAGCCTTAACAGACTGTTGGGGAAAGTGGTGTTAGCGAGCACCTATGAAGGCCGGACAGCACACCAGGGGGTGGGTGGCCAGTACCACGCCCGACCGCCTTTGTCTCCCCAGTGGCGACATTTACACACCGCACCAGGTACTCATTTGAGGCTGAGTCTACCTCGGGGAGGAGACCCAGGACCGGTTCGGATTATCGTCACCGGTGTTGACCGTGAGCGGGGATTCGAACTCGGGTCACCAGGTTCATAGCGCAGTGCGCTAACCGCTGCACCACTGCTCACACACACGCACGCACGCACGCATCTTCGAGTTTAGCTTTTCAAGTAAATGTTTTTTTCAAAGAACGTGTATATTTTTCATCCATTCCAATAATTTTACGTACACCTCGAGTTGACAACGCCAATGATTCGAACGCGGCAAAAGTGTGAATCGGAAACCCTGTCGTACCAACTTGCGTTTTAACGCTGCTCGAGTCACTATTCTATTTCAGGAATTAATAAAGGAAAAAAAAAACGCAACTGGGTTCGTTCCCTCTAACCCCAACAATTAACAAAAAGTTATTATCGCGGCGAGTAAACATTCCACGGAATCATCTTTCAACATGATTGTTTCATAGCAGAGGTCGCAACCCGGGGTACCCGATACCCGTATCCTACACGATACCCGGCTACCCGTACCCGGCCGGGTACCGGTACGGGTACCCGTTTGCGACCCTGGTGCGGCCGGGTACGGGTACGGGTAAGGAATCAAAACCCGTTTGCGACCTCTGTTTCATAGTAAAGCTTCTTTGTTTGGGTTAGATCACGCGAGTATAAATGTTGTGCGGTTAAACCCGCCACCACCTGACGCGCAGCCACTTAGCAGGGCTCATCACGTCAACAGCACGCCAGAGTAAACCCGCAACAGCATTTGCAGTGACGTTTCGCCAGTGATTGCAACCAGCCCCATCAGGCGATAGCCCACGTGTTAAAATGATTGTTTAAAGCAAACACATCTATTAATTCTAGGTTTGAAGCTTTCGTGACCGCAAGGATTCATACTCTTAGGTTTTTTCGGTAAAGTCACGTAGGTAAAAAATAAAATAAAAAAGTTCATATTTTATTTTATTTCCATTATTAACTTTAAATTGGATTTTTTTACCTACGTGACTTTACCGAAAGAACCTGAGAGTACAAACACATTTAGCCAAACGCGACTGTAAACAAAGTTCACTGCATGCGACATCCGCGCCCAGCTCTCCGACGTACGCCTCCTGTCGACGGCGACGTACGAACACTCCGGGAGCTTCGTCACCTTCCCACGGAAGATCCCCGGCAGCGTTCAGTTCCCGGGGGTCAGTTCCCGGGGGGCGCGGAGCCACAGGTCGAAGGCGGTGGCGGCCCGAAAGCGCAGTTCGACGGCGCGAAACCAACGCGGCAGCGTTTCTTCGCATCCAGGCACCCCCCACCCCCGGCTCACCGCTTATCGTCGGGCGGCTGTTGAAAAAAAGAACTCTTAAGCTCAACGGGCTGAACGAGCAGCACACAAAATGTTCCCTCCACAAACGTCCACCTTCGGAGCACGTGACAAGCAGGCGAGAGACCCACGTTTCCTTATTTGTTGTTTCGATTCTCTGCAACGAAGCCCGTGATCACCAAAAACACATCGCTTTCCACAATTCCTTGCGAGTTGTTGTTGTGAAGGTTCCGAGCGAGTGCCGGACGGACGTTTCCATCAACCGGCCCCCGGGGCTCCGGCTGCGCTGCTGGTGCGCGGAGGGCTCACGGTGGCGGCCGTGTCCCGGGCGAGCTTGCGCAGGAGGAGGTCGTAGTTGTCCCGCACTCCCGGGTCGCCCGGCTCCATCCTCAGCGACGTCTCGTAGCTCCTGCGCGCCTCCTGCAGCCGGCCCCAGCGGTGGTACAGCACCCCTTGGCGAGCGACAGCGGCGATTAGTCGACGCGAAACTCGACAAGTTCGGGTGAGAACGGCGCGGGGGGTGGGAGTGGGCAACCCGTCGACGAAAGTTCGCAACGGTTTCAGAAACGGGGGCGGCGCGAAATGTATCTATGTATGCACGTTGAACTTCTTTCGCAGCGTACGTAGCCATCCGTGCTAATCGGAGGTGCGGGGGAAGGACAACAAACTAAACACAAATAAATTATTTGAAAAGTGCACAGCTCCCAGTGGCTTCCAAAATATAGGAAGGAGAGAGCGTTCCAGACGGCCGCGGAAGCTCATCTGAAAGCGCCCCGCGATACGGCAACCACCGTCCGTGTTCGATGGCTGAGCCAAAAGCCGCTGCCGCTGCTGCAAGGATGAAAAGGTTGAGGTTGACACAAATTGCCACGTGTCACCCCTAAATGAGTAATTTGCAATATCGCTCGAATTAGCCTTTCACACAGTTTTTCAATGCCTGGAATTGCGATTCAGAGACAACCGGCTTCCTGGGGCTTCTCAACATCCAAATGATGCAAGGAGTACGGGCCCCTGCCTGGCACTCCACTGCTGGATGAGCACGGGCGGGCCTCCCCAATGCCGTGCGGGTCGTTTGCGACCCCGCACTCCGACACGCTGGGGTCACCGGCGCGCGGGTTTGGCGACAACGGTGGTGAGCACAGACGACACGTTCCCTAAACGACGTTCACACATCACACCGGGCACTCATTTGAGGCTGAGTCGACTTAGGGGAGGCCCAAGACCGGTTAGGATTAACCGTCACCGGTGTGTTGGTGGCCGTGAGCGGGAATCGAACTTAGCCTCGCCGGGTTCGTAGCGCAGCAGCGCGGCTATCACGGGCGCGCTGGCGAGCAGACGCACGGGAGAGCAAAACCGAAACCGAAATCCCGACAACGTTCCCGAAACAACGGAAGGACCGTCGCAAAGGGAAAAATGTTTTTTTTTTTTTACTCCGGGGGGTACCGACGGGAAAAGGGATGGAGCATTTCAGGCGAGTCGGTCGACGCAGCCGGCCAAAATAAAACAGGACGGACACACGCACACACACACACGAAGCATCGCGCATGATCGGAGGAACCACCTACCCAGGTTGCCGTGATAGTTGGCGGCGTTCGGGTTCCCCTTGAGAGCTTGGAGGTAGAGGCTCTCAGAATCCTGCGGAGCACAGGGAGATAGGCGGGAGATTGATCCTCGGCGATGTGCACGCAAATAAGACGAAGGTCCCCCGTGTAGCCTGAACAGACTGTTGGGCCAAGTGCTGTTAGCGAGTAGCACCTGTGAAGGCCGGCACAGGGGTGGGTGGCCAGCACCACGCCCGGCCGCCTTTGTCTCTCCAGTGGCGATTTTTACACACCGCACCAGGTACTCATTTGAGGCTGAGTCGACCTAGGGGAGGCCCAGGACCGGTTCAGGTAATCGTCACCGGTGTTGGTGGCCGTGAGCGGGAATCGAACTCGGGTCGCCGGGTTCGTAGCGGTGCCACGATGCCATGCGCGCAGTCAGCGCACCCGGACAATCTTCGTGATCACGGTTGGCTGGTGCGCTTCTGCGGCCGTCTGGAGCGCCTCTTTCTTCTGATATGAGGAAGCCGCTGGGAGCTGCGATGCACTTTTAAATCATCCAGATCAGTTTGCCGTCCTTGCCCCGGCACCTCCGTTTAGCGCCGTTGGCCACGTATGCCGCGAAAGAAGCTCACCGTAGTAAAATAATAAAAATAAAATATAATAAAATCATTCTCACGACGTTTCGGCCACAAGGCAAGCAGCCGTCCTCAGGTGGAGAACAGTTCTGTCGAGAAGACAGAGTCTGAAGACTCCTGAGGACGGCTGCTTGCGTTGCGGCCGAAACGTCGTGAGAATTATTTTATTATGTTTTATTTGTATGATTTTATTATTTCCATTCTACGTGACTTTACCGAAAGAACCAAGAAGATGAATCCCTGCAGTCACGAAAGCTTTAAATCGAAACTCACCGTAGTACTTTGCGATTGGCGGGTCAGATTAACCGGTCGGTTGAATAACCGCACGGCTCAGCTCTACTGCGAAAGCGTGCGTCAGGGCCGCGTGGGTTAAGCGGCGGGGGGGGGGGGGGGGGGGGGGCGGCACCGTGCCAAAGCCACAAGGGAGGAAGTGGGCAGCGGGATAAGGCCTTGGAAGTCCGCAGCGCGCTCGACTCTGCGGCGAGCGGTGCGGAAGTGGCTCACGGTGCCACCCTTGAAACGAGCGTCCCAAGGCCTCGGCGTTTTGCGTGCGCCGATGTATTTGTTTGTTCGCTTCGCAGCGGAATTCATGACAATGCCTGTCCCTGCACGTGAAAAAAATCAACGTGGTTTGTTTTTGGGGGGGGGGGCGGGTTTTTACACAACCCGTTGGCCGCACGGCCTTCTGGGAGTGCACCTTGAGAGCAGAAAACTTTTGGGGTCGGCTTCGACGTGTCGGCGTCTCATCGGCGGCCGAGACACGGGGGGTTCGCGTGGACCGATGTTCGTGACCTGCCGGTGTGCCCATAGGCGAGGACCCTTCCTAGAAGGCCCGCAGTAGCTTGGGGAGGCCTTCGTCCCAGCAGTGGATTGATGGTGGCTGACGATGACAGGCCTTCGGCTAGAAGCCCGGGGCAGAAGGTCATGTGGGGGGCCCCCCCCGCCCCCGAGTCATTTGTGATGAAAAAAAAACAGGCCAGACGGGGTAAATTAACGAATTACGCCTCCATCAAAGATAACGATCCCCCATATAGCCTGAACGAACTGTTGGGGCAAGTGCTGTTAGCGAGCACCTATGAAGGCCGGCACGGCACACGAGGGGGTGGGTGGCCAACACCACGCCCGGCCGCATTTGTCTCCCCAGTGGCGATGTTTACACACCGCACCAGGTACCCATTCGAGGCTGAGCCGACCTAGGGGGAGGCCCAAGACCGGCTAAGACAACCGTCACTGGCGTCGATGGGAATCGAACTCGGCTCATCGGTTTATCATCTTCTTGGTTATTTCGGTAAAGTCACGTAGAAGGGAAATAATAAAATAATAAACATAAAACCATGACAGGGAATCGCGGGAGGAAAGACTGCCCTGTTCTTCACCTGAGGACGGCTGCTTGCGTTGTGGCCGAAACGTCGTGAGAATTGTATTTTATTATGTTTTTTTCTTCTTATTTTATTATTTCCCTTCTACGTGACTTTACGGAAAGAACCAAGAAGATCGGCTCGTCGGGTTCGCAGCTCGGCCAGGTAACCGCTACACCCCCCCCCTCCCGCCGACTTCTGCATGGCGAATTTCGATGTAAAGCTTTCGTGACTGCAGGGATTCATCTTCTTGGTTCTTTCGGTAAAATCACCTGAGGACGGCTGCTTGCATTGTGGCCGAAACGTCGTGAGAAGTATTTTGTTATGTTTTCTTCTTATTATTTTATTACTTCCCTTCTACGTGACTTTACCGAAAGAACCAAGAAGATTCTGCATGGCGCTGGAGGTCACCTGAAACCGGCCCGTCTTGCCCAGCACGTTGGCCACCGTGAACAGGAGGCCGTGCTCGCCGGGGACACTTTGGAGGGCCAGCCGGCCGATCCTCGCCGCCTCCTCCATGCTCCCTGCAGGCCACCGGGGGGAGGGGGCAGGGCGAAGGGGGGGGGGGTCGTGGGCAGGAGAGGCGGATTTGTTACGAGTTACGTCCAAAGGTCGGCCGTGGTGGGGGGGGACAAAAAAAGCGAAGGCCGTGGGTGAGGATCGTGACTCGTTTACTCGCGAGCCGGGCCCACGCATCGACGAGAGAGAGACAGAGAGAGAGACAGAGAGAGGAGAGAAATCAGCACGCAACTCAACCTCCAGTCGCATCGACGTCACACGCGTGCAACTCGCGCAGTTGCGCGCGACCGAGTCGCGCAACTCGTCGCTCGTGGTACGGCGCGGTATTCGTGGGGTTGGTGCGGCCTGAACGTTCGCGAGCTCTCGCGGGCCCCGGTCCATCACGGGCGCGTAGGCCACTAACGGTGCCGGTCATTAACTCTCACCTAGGAGGGCGACCACCTATGCATTAAATGGGCTTTACAGACAGGGTATCCTCTGTCCAAGCGGCGTTGGCTGGGTAATGTGACGCCAGGCTATCACATGGTCACAGACTTTGCCTCACCGCTGCGCAAATTTATAAATTCCAGCAATGCCTGTGGCTTAGGGAAGCCGGGCGGCAGTGCACTTCTTCGCCAGCACAGCGGCTTTCGTCCCGCGATTCCCTGTCACGGTTCGAAGACCAACTTCCCTTCAAAGCTCGAATCCCAGTCATTTATTTCAGGCACGGCATGTCACACGTCCTCCAGTCACGCCAACCACGCTTCGCTCCCAAGACACGGGGTGGGCACCACGGTGGCTGGGAGATGTTAACTACCTCGCCTGGTGTACAGGAGGTCGCGGGTTCGATCCCGACCATGACACCTGCTGTGTATTTGGAATTTGCGTGTCTCTCTCTCTCTCTCATCATCACGGTGGCTGGGAGATGTTAACTACCTCGCCTGGTGTACAGGAGGTCGCGGGTTCGATCCCAACCATGACACCTGCTGTGTATTTGGAATTTGCGTGTCTCTCTCTCTCTCATCATCACGGTGGCTGGGAGATGTTAACTACCTCGCCTGGTGTACAGGAGGTCGCGGGTTCGATCCCGACCATGACACCTGCTGTGTATTTGGAATTTGCGTGTCTCTCTCTCTCTCTCATCATCACGGTGGCTATGAGATGTTAACTACCTCGCCTGGTGTGCAGGAGGTCGTGGGGTCCATCCCGACCCTGACGCCTGCTGCTGTATATTTGGAGCTCGCGTGTTCTCCCCGTGTTCGCGTGGAATTTCCTCCGGCTCCACCGGTTATTTTCCTACACATTTAGAATCGATGTAGCGCGTTCCGAGTATTTGGCTGCTGTAGATTTACACGCGATAGGCCACTTTGTTGAGCTGCCGTTTGTGGCCAGATCGTTTCTGAAAAAAGCTACATAGCTCAGTGGGCCTTACCTGGTAAAATAAAAGATAGTTCAGTTTATAGTTTCGTTTTGTGATCGGGCGCATTGCGGGTGATTTGGTCATAGGGTTACTATCATCACGCAGCTGACAAAAGCCAGGACTTTAGATGTCCCTGGAAGGACCTAAAACATTTCCCGGGACAAGCAGCTGCCTCCAAACAGAGGGGACCGGTGTAACGTAAACCCCAGCCCCGTCTCTCTTGACGGGACCGGGCACTTCGCTGAAAGTGACGTCCAGTGGCCCGTGGGTTTCGTGTGGCGTGCGTGACAGCAACCCTCACCTGGCGGCAGGAGGGGGGAAGAGGAAGTGTGTGTGTAGGGGGGGGGGCGATGCCGTGGGGTCCCCCCACTCACCCGAGTTGTCGAGCAGCACGATCATGTTGTTCCAGGCGAGTCGGTGCGATGGCTGCTGCAGGGTGGCGGTGCGCCAAGCCTCCAGCGCGTCTGCCGGCCTCTGCACGTCCAGGTACTGCTCACAGCGCCAGCGGACACGCGGGCTTGTACGCACGTACGCACGTGGATGCATACGCAAGTACGTACGCACGTACGTGCGTATGCTCAACATCTTTCGAACCGTACGTAGCGAAACGTTCTGACCGGAGGTGCGGGGGAAGGACCACAAACTATACACGAAAAGAAATAAAGTTTGAAATATAGACGATGACGTTAAAAGGGCACAGCTCCTGTGGCTTCCTAATATCGCAAGGAAGAGCATTCCAGACGGGCACAGAAGCGCATCTGGAAGCGCACGATGCGGTGGCCGTCTTTTGTTCGGTGCATAAGTGCGTACAAATGCGGATTCGTACGCTCGTGCGTACGCACATACGTGCAGCCGTATGTATGCACGCACACCAGGGGTGGGAGACCCACAGCCCACGACGCTGGCTGGGGTCCACGACTTCATTTACGAATTGCCGAGCGGGCGTTTGGTTTTCGAGACATTATTTTGGCGTGGCGTGAACCCGGTGACCCGAGTTCGATTCCCGCTCGCCGCCAACATCCGCGATGGATATCTGAACCGGTCCTGTCACTCCCCTAGGTTTACTCAGCCTTAAGTGAGTACGTTGCGCGGTGTGTAAACGTCAGCACTCGGGCGACAAGGGCGGTCGCGCGTCGTGCTGGCCGCCCTCCAGTGTCATTGGTCGTGAGAGGGAATCCAACTTCGTGGCTCAGCGCGCTAACCGCTGCACTGCCACATCGCACGCACAAGCGCATGCACGCACAAGCGCACGCACGCACAAGCGCACGCACGCACAAGCGCATGCACAAGCGCACGCACGCACGTATGCACGCACGCGCGCGCAGCAGGAGACACGCGGGCCTGGGGCCTCACCAGCCGGCCCAGGTTGTAGTAGCAGTCGGGGTATTGTTTGCGATGGCGCAGGGCGGTGAGGAAACTCTGCTCAGCCGCGAGGAAGTCTCCCCGGCTGTTCTGCACGATCCCCAGGTTCATCCAGGCAGCCGCAAAGTCCGGTCTGCCGGGTCGGTGGTGGGGGGCGGGGGAGGAGTGTTAACATCATTGAGTGAGATGGCGAGCAAGTGAGTGTGCGGGTGAGTGAGTGATTGAGGCAGTGCGCGAGAAAGTGAGTATGTGGGTGAGTGAGCGAGCAAGAGAGTGCATGAGTGAGCGAGCAAATGGGTGAGCGAGTTTTTGAGGAAGAGAGCGAGTGAGCAAGTGAGTGAGTGAACCAGAGAGTGAGTGAGCGAGTTTGTGATTGAGTTGTTGAGCGAGCGAGCAGGTGAGTGAATGACCGTGCGAGCGAGTGAGCAAATGAGGGAGTGAGCGGATTTGTGAGCGAGCGAGCGAGCGAGTCGGCGGGTGAGTGAGCAAGCGAGCGAGTGAGCGAGCAGATCATCCGTTTCATCGGCGGCGCCGGCGTACTGAATCTGCACGGCTCTCCTCAGCAGCTGCTCCGCCTCTTGCAGCTTCCCCGCGCCCTTGAGGATGTTGCCCAGGTTGTTCATGGGCTGCACGTACGCGGGGTGCAGGCTGCGGGCGGACGGGAACAACGGGAACAACGGGGCACGCGCGTCAAGGTTTTTCAAGGAGCTTGAATCATCGTCGCGCCCACTACGATCATCCTCGCAGCGGCGGCTTGTGGCTGGCCGTCTGGAACAAAGACGGTGCTCACCGCGTCGCGCGGCGCTTCTGCGGCCGTCTGGAACGTTCTTCCTTCCGATAATTAGAAAGCCGCTGGAGCGGTGCACTTTTAAATAGTTTAGATCGACAAACTCATTTCTTTAGAACTGCTTTTTGTGTTTCGTTTGTTGACCTTCCTCCCCAACCTCCGATGAGCACGGTTGGCTACGTACGGTGCGAAAGAAGTTCAACGTACGTATAAACATGTGCGCGCACAGACGAGTCTCATCAGCGGTGGTTTGGCCCATTAAGCAAACGTTGCTGGGGTTACCCGGCGTCGTTAGCAAGAGCCCAAGGAAGCGGTTCATTCAAGCGACGTGGTCGACACGAGAGAGCGGACTGCACTAGAACCACCAGGTTTACCAACGTTCGTCACGTGACAGTCAAATCGTTATTTTGAAATTCTTAAAACTGGAATTTAGCTGTGTAAAAATAATCGTCGAGGACGTCCGTCCGGGGCCACACCGACGCCGCTCTCATCGCCGCCATTTCGTTCTGTGACGGACGAACAGCAGAGCTACCTCAGTGCCCGTCCGTAGTAAGCGATGGCCGTCCTTTCGTCTCCGTTGTCCGCCGAGTTCTTCCCGATGTTGTAGTGCACCTGGGGTCCGACGCCGACATCAAGCTCGTGAGCGCAGTTCACAGACGCGTGGGCGACGACAATCGCCACGTGCACACGCAAACACGAGGAAGAAAAATCGTGCGCGGGCGAGCGGTTCCGCAACACTACGCGACGTTTTTTATCCCGCGTCACCGATGAGCGCGGTTGGCTGAATACTGTGCCATAGAAGTTCGACGTGCATACGTAGACTCACACAGAGACCCATAGAGACCCATAGACTCACACAGAAACCCATAGACTCACACAGAGACCCATAGACTCACACAGAGACCCATAGACTCACACAGAGACCCATAGACTCACACAGAGACCCATAGACTCACACAGAGACCCATAGACACTCACATAGAGACCCATAGACTCACACAGAGACCCATAGAGACCCATAGACTCACACAGAGACCCATAGACTTACACAGAGACCCATAGACTCACACAGAGACCCATAGACTCACACAGAGACCCATAGACTCACGCAGAGACCCATAGACTCACACAGAGACCCATAGACACTCACATAGAGACCCATAGACTCACGCAGAGACCCATATACTCACACAGAGACCCATAGACTCACACAGAGACCCATAGACTCACACAGAGACCCATAGACTCACACAGAGACCCATAGACACTCACATAGAGACCCATAGACTCACACAGAGACCCATAGAGACCCATAGACTCACACAGAGACCCATAGACTTACACAGAGACCCATAGACTCACACAGAGACCCATAGACTCACACAGAGACCCATAGACTCACGCAGAGACCCATAGACTCACACAGAGACCCATAGACACTCACATAGAGACCCATAGACTCACGCAGAGACCCATAGACTCACACAGAGACCCATAGACTCACGCAGAGACCCACAGACTCACACAGAGACCCATAGACACTCACATAGAGACCCATAGACTCACACAGAGACCCATAGACTCACACAGAGACCCATAGACTCACACAGAGACCCATAGACTCGCACAGAGACCCATAGTTTGTTGTCCTTCCCACCCGACCTCCGATTAGCGCGGTTGGCTGCGTGAGGTGCGAAAGAAGTTCAACGTGCGTGCGTACATTTGACTCTCAATAAACACCACGTGTCTGTCTGTAACGGAGGCGGTGGTGGCGTGGGGTGGGGTGGCAGGGGAGCGTGAAACCTCTCGTAAAGATCGCTCAATGCGACCGAATTGTGAGCGTGAGGTGGAGTCGCACGTGTGGGACTCGTCGCCTGCTGAGACCGGGGCGGATTGACCCGGGAGGCTTTTTCCCCAAAGGCCCCGGGGAGGCAAAGAAAACCCGGCGCCCAATGGGTTCGCCTCGCTGGCCCAGGCGACGGCGTAGGTGCGCTACATCGCGGCACCGCGTCGTCACGCGTGCGATCGTGAGCGCGCGGCGTCGCGTATCGCCGCCTGAGCGCGCCGCCGTTATGAAAGGTTCAAAGGGGCAGCCCTGCAACCGCTCGCTCGCGCTACTGCCGGCAGAAGGGCCTCCGCCCCGACGCCGCTCCGGACAGTCGCCCCCAGTAAAATGACCGCCGCTCGGAAAGACACGCCAGTGGACGGACGCTCGGGAGACGCGACCGCTCCCTGCGTCTCTGAGGACGTGCCTTGGCGTTCCGCGGGCACACGTGCAGTGCGCTGGAGAAGAGCTCCTGCTCGCTGCGCCACTGGGCGCTCCGGTGAACGCTGCGCACCATGTGCAGCGCCACCAACAGCAGCCACAGCACTCCCAGGAGCCTCTGCACGCACACGCACGCGCGCGGGCAGCGGCAACGTCACGCGCAGTCAAGAGGTCCGCACGAAGGCGATCGCGCGGCGGACGAGTGGACCGCGAGCGGGAACGTGGACGGCAACGGCGCGGCGCCAGCAGGGGCCGCCTGCCGCACGGGGAGAGACGCGGGCGACGCTTCGGCAAACGGCGACGGCGATCCTCAACACGCGGACGTGCGCGCATGATGGCGGCACTACCGGCGAAAGGGCCTTCCGCTCGGCGGCAGGGGAGGGCCGATTGCCGAGACGGGCAACGGAGCGGTCTCCACAAGTCCGGAGGCAAAGGGGAAGAAGAGCTAAGACCAAAATTGGGCGGATCTTAGGAGGTCATGTGGTGACTTCACGACACCGTTGGGATCTGGAGGAGGGAATATTTGAAGGGGCGGAAGTGACCGTAACTTTACCGCGCCGCGCACGCGACCTGCCCAGTGGCGGCGCCCACTTCCACCGCAAGGGGGGGACGGAGCAGAGAGGTCGCAACCGGGTACCCGATACCCGTACCCTACCCGATACCCGGTTACCTGTACCCGGCCGGGTACGGGTAGCCGTTTGCGACCCTGGTGCGGCCGGGTACGGGTACGGGTAAGGAATCAAAACCCGTTTGCGACCTCTGGGACAGAGGCGGTCGCGGTGATTAAAGAAACGCCGGCCCGGCGCCGGGAGATGTAAATGTAAGCGTCGATCTCTGGGTCGCGTTGCCGGTCACCGCACGACGGGGGGCCGTCTCGAGCGCGCGGCACCGTCTCCGGCGGGCAAGCGATAACCCAGGAGCGGGCGACAGCGATAACCCACGAGCGGGTGAGCGATAACCCACGAGCGGGCGACAGCGATAACCCAGGAGCGGGCGGCGCGGGCGGTAACCTTGTGGCGCGGGTGCCGGCGTGCCAGGCGGGAGAGGCCGTGGGTCACGAGCAGCGCGTGGCCCGCGGCCGGCGTGTAGAGGACGCGCTCCGCCAGCACGAAGCCCACGCGCACCAGCACGTTCGCGGCCGGAGCGAACGGCACCAGCAGCAGCACCAGCGCCAGCAGGAGCCGCCTGCCGCACGGGGGGGAGACGGGGGCGAAGTTCCGGCAAACAACGATGACGACGGTGGCGATGATCGAGCGTTCACATCGCATCTCTCGGCACCGCACAATCCTCAACACACGGGCGTACACGCGTGTTATTATTCCCTGCACGACGGACGGACGGACACAATAATCCCCTGTGGGCTGGTGTAACCAGGAGGTTCCAACCAGTAATAGCGTTTATACGTGTCAGAAGAAACCGGAGCACCCGGAGAATACCCACGCGTGCGAGGGGGAAACACTCTATCCCATACAGACGGAACAGGTGTGGTCCAGATTTGCCGTACCGCCTTCTCCTAGTGAGCCAGGCGAAAGCACCTCCTTGACGCACACGGGAAGGGATGTTTGTGCAAAACGTGTGAGTGCGATCTGCCAATCCTCGCTGATGCCTCCATAGGACGCGTGCATAGTCACATCGGCCCGGCTGTATAGATGATACTCATCTAACACATTCCTGCGGAGGGAGCTGGTAGGAACGTCGGGTTGCTCGGTCAATGGCCAGGGTCAACGGCGGCGTGGTGTATTCCGCAAATATGGCCGACTGTGAGGGCGGGCACAAGCCGGCGTGAGTAGGTTAAACGTTGAGTTTTATAAGGGCACCACGGGGTGACCAGTCCCTCTCTACCCAGCCCCACCCCTCCCACCCAGTCGCTCCCCACCCTCCCCACCCAGCCCCTCCCTACCCTCCCCACCCAGCCCCTCCTCACCCTCCCCTCCCCACCCAGCCCCTCCCTCCCCACCCAGGCTCTCCTCACCCTCCCCTCCCCACCCAGCCTCACCCTCCCCACCCAGCCCCTCCTCACCCTCCCCACCCCGCCCCTCCCTCCCCACCCAGCCCCTCCCCACCGCCCCCCCCCCCCCCCCTCCGACCTTCCATCCGACCCCCACCTTCTCTCCGACTCGTCGTGGGCACGCAGGGCGCGCAGCGCGAGGGCGCCGAGCGCCAGCCACAGGCACAGCGGCGCCACGATCCTCCAATCGGAGGCGGCGGAGATGAGCGGCACGCAGCCCATGGACCAATCAAAGCACAGCCACTGCGGGTCGAGGAGCAGCCAGGCATTGAGGGCGTAGAGGTAATGGTAGTTCACCACCTGTGAAGAGAGAGAGAGAGAGAGGTGGGTGGTGGGGGGGGTGGTGGCAGGGGTGCCAACGTTACGAAATTGCCAGCTGTGTCGTGAAGACACGCGAACCGAGAGTAGAAATTTTTAAAAACGCGGTGGACTTTTGACCGTGCCGGATGAGGGTAAGAGCAGTGGCAGCAGCGTTGGTGGTGGTGGAGGAGGCAGGGTGAGGACAGGGTGAGGACAGGATGTGTTCTCTGCACGGTCAGTTATTACGACGGTCGGTTGAGGATGGACTTAACCCACCGTTGTTAGGAAGCCACTGGAGGCCACGCACTTTCAAATCTACATTTAAAATTAATTTCTTTAGAATATATTTTTGTGTTGTTTAGTTCGTTGTCCTTCCCCCCCCCCCCCCTTCCGTGGTTGGCTTCCCACGGTGCGGAATGAGTTCAACATACATAGATGCACCGATACATCCGGGGGTTGATAAATTGAGTGCAACCTTGCGGGGGCATCAACAGCGGGTTCGCCCTGTGGAGAGTCTCATCCTCACCGTAGGGAATGTGGAATTTCCACCACTGCCTCTGGGCTGTAAACGGTCGATGAGTACCATTGCCTCAATGCTAATTTGAGAAAGAGTACAAGTTGAATAAAAAAAAACACGATCTTAACAAATTTTCCTTTGATTTATCAAAGTATTCATTGGCATTAAATTGGGACAGATATAAAAAAAAATATGAAAAAAGTTTTCGCAATAAGTTGCGCTGATGTCTCATTTGGTAGCTGGCGGGGAGACTCGTAAACAGGAACAGCTGGCAGAAGATTAGGTGCAATGAATAATGCATAATCGCGCACGACTGTTTAAGATTTAGACATTCTGCCCGAACATCGCTCGGGCCAGACATTTTCATTATTTAAATAGAGAACACTTGTTATTGTTGAAAAAAATAATAATATATAAACGCTTTAGGCCGACCGGCTGGCTGACGCAAAATGTATTAATTTTCTAAATGCACTCAACTTGAGCGATGAATCAACGAGCGTCGTCCTTTTATTCCATGTGACTCATCGCACTCTTGACGGGGGGGGGGGGGCGGTACGGGTGGCGTTCGTCATCAACTTTGGGAAACACGCCGCGGTCGCCCGTCACGTCTACGACGACGCTCTCCGCCGCCTAAGTCACTCACCGCCGTCAAATAACGAGAACCCCGCACGCCTTGTGGCATCGGCAAGCCGGTGGGGGAGGGCTAAGGCGCCCGCGTCAGCCTTAACGGGTGCTCGCCGACAGTAAACGCACCTCGGCGCTCTCAACCCTTTGCCGTTCCGAGACATCTGTCAGTTGCAGGGTGCAGGTGGGTGGTGTCCAGAGGTCGCAACCGGGTACCCGATACCCGTACCCTACCCGATACCTGGCTACGGGTACCCATTTGCAACCATGGTGCGGCCGGGTACGGGTAAGGAATCAAAACCCGTTTGCGACCTCTGGTACACGTATGTGCACGTACGTCATCAGAAACGGGAAAGGTTTGAGCTCCCAGCTGACGCAGCGACGACGCCGGGCGGGCGAGAACTAAACGGCGTCGACGCGGCGCAGTACTCACGCGTGTCAGCAGGCCGTCGGCGAAGGCGGCGGGGTTATCGTCGGGCGTGAACGCCGGAGCGCCGCCGCCCATCACCCACCACCGCGCCGCCAGCGTGGCGAGGAGGGCCGTCGCCAGCGCTGCCTGGCGGCACGCGAACGCCAGCGTGCAGCCTCGGCGGCCCTGCGCGCTCGGCACAAGCCCGGGAAAAGCGTCAACCACCGCTCGGCACGTTTGTTTCTTTCAAAAGCGAGCCACCGTGCGCCGCGCGGCTCTGCGGGTGGTCACGCTGCGTGCCCGGGCGTATGTTTCGCAATGCGCTACTGCGGGCATCTGCCTGCAGCAGGAGTTGAAGGGAAGGATGGGGCGCCGCGGTGGAGAGATGTTAACTACCTCGCTAGGTACGCAGGAGATCGTGGGTTCGATCCGGACCCTGAAGCCTGTATGTTTGGAGTTTGCGTGTGTCTCTCCCCGTGGTCGCTTGGATTTTTCTCCGGGTCCTCCGGTTTTTCCTTCCACGTTTAGAATCGACATCACGCGCTTAGAGTATTTGGCTGCTATACATCTACACGCGATGATCACAAGCCACTTCGTTTGGCTATCATTTGTGGCCAGGGAGCTTCTGCAAAAGAGCTACAAGGCTAGGTGGGGCCTTTCATGGTAAAATGAAAACAATTGTTTTAAGATGCCCTTGGTAGTGAGTGAGAATAAATGCTAATCAGGTACCCCATGTGAGAAAAATGGATTGCTTGGACTGCAACCACTTCACTGATGAAAATTGTCATCGCGAATTACGAGAACGAAATGAACACTGCCCCCCAGAGTGTGTATCTTGTACTTGTTATTTTTATTTATTATATATTTTTATTATTATAGAAATATGATTTATTTTTACAAGAGCCCGGTACAGAGCGCGAGCGATAGAAAAAAAGGGGTCAGAGGGGCACTGGTGGAGCCAGTGGGGGGGGGGGGGGGGGGGGGGGGTGGCACGTGCCCCCCCAATGATCCGATCTAAATCCCTAATTGCGATCGGATCATTGGGGTTTATTAGTAATAAATCGGCATTTTGCAACCCCCATTTCCACTGTGTAGCATATTATTACGTGCCAGGGACTTTATGATAGGACAATAGTCCATAATCGGCAATAAGTAATGGCAAAGCAGTTATAAGTGACTCACAGAATTGTGTGCAGTTGTGTATACAGCACACACGACTTCCCTGAAGGCATCAACAGCTTCAGCGAGCGCGATGCCGATCACACGACGCGGTTCGAATTCGACCCTCGATCGATGGCTGCGCCATCGCCGCACACGCGTCTAATAACGAAATTATTCGATCCGTGAATTGAATTGCGGGTGCCCGAATCCCGACTCTGAATTTTCGTAAGGGAACGCAATTATTATCCTTGACCTTTTGATGCTCACCTTTGACCTCATCCCCGCACCCCCAAAATGCAGTGCAGACTTGGCTAACCCGAGGGGGTCGATCCCAGAGACTGCGATGGCATCGTACGCCGAGCACAGGGCCTGGCGGGCGATAGAGAGAGAAACGCGAACCCGTCAAATGGACTCGCACGCAATGCCCGTAGCCGCCGCTCTGTATTTTCATCGCTCGCTCGCGCGTCGTGCAAACGAGGTAGCTGCACAGGCCGGCTCGGCACGCTCATCCCACGACGGTCACGCCTCGATTATCCTGGGCGATGGGGGTTGGGGGGTGACCCGAATATGAAAACAAAATAACAACAAAAACATGACTGAACAAAGCTAAACGAATGCAAATTAGTTTAACACGTAGGCTTTCGCGACCAATATCATCCATAATACAGGTTTTTTTTTTGGGGGGGAGGGTTAGATCTGGCTGTTGCCTGATGAAGCTAGTTGTAATTTCTGGCGAAACGTCGTACTCAGATTGTGGATGTTGTGGCTTTGCTCTCCAACCCCAAGTCGAGGTACACCTATTGTTCTCTTTTAGCCCCGCCCACCCCCCCCAACACGTTCCATTCATTGGCTACCACATTCAGATAAGCCCCTCCCCCTTAACTTGCATTTAAGAGCTCGCCTCTTGGAATTTTGCCTCACTTGAGACAGTAACTTTAGCTGTGACGGTCCCACCTGATGACGGAGACTTGTGTTGCCTCCGAAACGTCGTGATTTATTATTTTATTTCTATTATTATTTCTATTGTTTTTATTCTTTATTTTTACCTACGTGACTTTACCGAAAAATATGAAACTTGGAACTGCGCCACTGCAAAGGGCCATCTCGACCGAGCGCGCTATTATTAGAAACGCGGCGACGTCGTTGCCACGTCGAAAACTATTCCCCCCCCCCCACCAGTACCCGATTGGTGCGGCTAAGATGCTTGCAGCGACGGGAATATATATATAGATTTCTATAGTTTTCCACGTATTCATTAGTGAGCGCGTGCGTTTCAGATCAAGTATTCGTGGAGATGGAGCTCGCGGAATCATTCGCTTCCCCGTGGAGTTGGTCGGTGGGGGGGGGGGGGGCCCTCACGAACTGGCGAGGGGCATGATGGGAAACGCTGAATCTCTGAATCCATTCCACCCCCCCCCCACCGTCAAACGTCTAAGTAGCGGACCACGTGAAACGACGACACGGGGTCGCGCGGCGCTGCGAATGCCCACGAGCCAGGAGGTGCCTCACCGCTGTTACGGGCAATCAAGGCACGATGTGACACCTGCCTCTCTGTCTCTGTGTACAGCGCTTGTTTGGTAGTGTGTACGGCACGAACGGTCTGTGGCGGTGCGCTCAGAGCGGAACGTCGCATGCTGCTCACTGTCAAAGGCAGTCATTGCTTCACTGTCACGATGCATCCAATCCCGACATTGTCATTTCTTTTGTTGCAGGTCCTCGTAGGCTTTCATCACTTGGGAGCCGGTGGCACATTGAACACATTCCTGCGGAGGGAGCTGGCAGGAACGTTGGGTTGCTCGGTCAATGGCCAGGGTCAACGGCGGCGTGGTGTATTCCGCAAATATGGCCGACTGTGAGGGCGGGCACAAGCCGGCGTGAGTAGGTTAAACGTTGAGTTTTATAAGGGCACCACGGGGTGACCAGCCCCTCCCCACCCAGTCATTTCGGAACGGGCCCTGGGGGCCAACCCTTTCGCAGCCCGTGCCGACCCGCATGGTTCAAGTATGGTGAAGCAACCGGCGTGCCTCATCGCAATCGATTGGGTCAGATTGCGTAGGTAAAATGTGTGTCGTGCGCGCCCTCCGCCAAGCCCGACACAGACAATTAATGAAGCTGTAACGCGAACAAACGTGCCGATTCACGACCCCTTCGCACCTCCGATTAGCACGGCCGGCTAGGTATGGCGCGAAAGAAGTTCAACATACATATACACACAGCACAGCGGTCGCGAGAGCCTATGTGTTAAATGCCTACGCCTGGCAGAGCACTGAGCAGACTTTCATCCAGCAGTGGACGAGCTGTACACACCCGCGTTTATGTCATGGATAAAAGTTCAAAACAACATTCTGTCCCAGTGCACCCCCAAATGTCACAGCGCTTAACCTTCAAAGCAAGAATGCGACGTGAATTAATAACTAAATTTAAAGAAAAATCACCCAGGGCTCGTCCGGGATTTGAACCCGGGACCTCTCGCACCCAAAGCGAGAATCATACCCCTAGACCAACGAGCCAGATGCTAAAGCTGTTGAGCAAACATACTTTTAGTGTGTGCACTTGGCATTTCTGCACGCTGGGCATTAAACCAAGTGTGGCTGCAGCACCGATAACACTATAACAGCATTGGAGAGACACGTTAGTAAGCGAGTAAAACTCCGTTTTTAAATCCTTTATATTAAGTTCACTTGCTTGCTTGCGTGCTTACGACCGTGCAAATCTTTCGGTCGTTTTTTAACCCACTTCCCGTGATCCAATCGAGCTGACATTTTGCACACAGACTCGTTGTGCGTGACAATTTATTTTCCTGAAATTTTTTTTCCAAAATTTTCCACTTTTTAGGAATTTTTTTTTTCATATTTTATTTAAAATACCAATGTGATAAAAATGAAACTCTTACTCAAGAAAAGCAGAAATGAATAATAAAATAAAACTGATGCCATGCATATAAAGGATTTATATTGAAAAACTTTGTTTTTACGGGTTAATTTATATATATATAGCTCCATTCACACAAGGCCTCACAGCGCTGTACAACAGAATAACAGTAAAAAAAAAACCCGATCAACATTAAAACTCAGAGGAAATCAACCCAACACCCTTACGCAGACGGATATGCAAGAGGAAATAAACGCGAAAAACTCAAAGGATATAGAAATAAACGCGGTTTTCAAACCGCGGATTTGGTGGATCGAAGTTGCCGTACCGAGGTACACGGTTTGAGCAGATCCCACCAGATGCGATTGAGCTTAAACCCTGTCAGGGCCTTGAAGGCCATTACAAGAACTTTAAACTCGCTCCTGTATTTTTACTGGAAGCCTACGCAGGGAACGAAGACTGTAATCAGTGCCGGATTATCGTAGTAGCAATAGTAGCACAAGTAGCTACAAATGCTACGGGCCCCGCACATTCAAGGGCCCCGCGCTAAATGCTTTCAAGCTATCAATTCCGGTTCAGTGATTCTGCACTTGCTCTATTACTACAGTACTATACGGCCTTCAACTTTTATGAACGACCGGGTGTTTAAGGTTAGCGATTTGTCGTATTACGTCTGTATAGCAAATTAAAAACTACAATTACTTTGTTAAACACGTAGCAGGCTTTCGCGACCAATATTATTCATAATCAACGTTTTTGGGTTTAGATCGCGTTATTTATGAATGTGTCGTAACCCTCCACCACCCGACACGGCCAATCAGTAAAAAAGTGTCACGTTGACAAAAGACAAATCGTTCACTGCTTTAGCCCACCGGTGTGTTCAAGCGTGAAACCACAACATTTACACCAGTGGGCTAAAGCAGTGAACTATTTGTCTTTTGTCAACGTGACACTTTTTTACTGATTGGCCGTGTCGGGTGGTGGAGGGTTACGACACATTTATAAATAACGCGATCTAACCCAAAAACGTTGATTATGAATACAATTACTTTACTATGTAAGTAAAAAATTAATGTTTTTAATATTTTTTTTCAATTTATGGCCCCTTGATGACAAATGCTACAGGCCTCGCACTAGCTTCATCCGGCACTGAATAGGTGTGATGTGCTCACATTCCCTCACTCCGCAAAAAACATGTACATACGTATATTGTCAACCTGATGATGCTGATTGTAATTACTGGCTGTGTCGGCTGGTGGCGGGTTTAACGACACATTTATATTTACGTGATGCCCACTACATGTTCAACTGATTCATTTGCAGTTTAACGAACAACGCGTGCACGCACGGAAAGGCGGAGAAGTGCTGTTGATACACGGACCATGCAAAATGTTTCTTGCATTTTTGAAAAACGTTCTCCAGTTTCATTCCGATTGTCCCCTACCAGTCTCATGCTATGAGACAAAGTGTCCACCCCATTCAAATCTCTCGCAGCGCTGTGCAACCCTTCCTGGATATCATGGATATTACAGAGCTACAACTGAAATCCCTTCACTTTCCCACCCGCTCTGCATATACGGGCGCTTCGGGACCTACGGAAGAAAATTAGCCTTGCAAATGTAAATTATTATTGTTGTTGGATGGAAAAACAATAATTGTCGCATTGCAGTCAAACCGATGTTTTCAATTTTGGACGTGGAGTTTAGCCGAATTACGAATTTAAGCAAATTTAACGTTCAAATTAAATGTATTTGCGCGCGGAAGAGAAATCTTTTAACGAGAGCAACCACCCACCGTGTTCGTCGCAAACAATTACAGTGATAATGACGCTTATGATTGTGGAACCACAGATGCCACCATCAGTGCCGGATTATCCCAGTAGCAACAGTAGCTACATATGTAGTAGCTACTAGTAGTACGTACGTACTACTAACTACATATGTAGTAGCTACTAGTAGCTACTACATATGTAGTACAACATATGTAGTAGCTACTACTACATGTGAAGTAGCTACATATGTAATAGCTACGGGCCCCGCACTTTCAAGAGCCCCGCGTTAAATGCTTTCAAGCTATCAATTCCGGTTCAGTGATTCTGCACTTGCTCTATTACTATAGTACTATACCGTCTTCAAGTGGGTGTTTAAGGTTAGCGATTTGTCGTATTATCTGGCTGTATAGTAAATGAAAAAATACAATTACTTAACTGTGCAAGTAAGAAAATTTGTGTTTGAATATTTACGTGTGTTTTTTTTATTTAGGGCCCCTTTATAACATTTGCTACAGGCCCCGCACTAGCTTCATCCGGTCACTGGTTGCCACGCAGCGCCAACACCCCCCCCCCACACGCAGGAGAGTCCTGCCCTCGGATGTTTGGCCATTTCCGCTGATGGGTGTTTGGCGTTCAGGAGGACAAATCCCCAACGCATACGAGGGGACAACGAACGCACTCCGCTGCGTATAAAACATCTCTAGCAAGCCGAGGTTTTTGTTCGTGAAATGTTTGTTCTCCCTTGGTTCTGTGATCGTTTTTTTTAATATAAAAACCGGGCTTCGCGTTGAGTTGTTATAAAAACAACTCAACATATAAATCTCTCCAACAAGCACCACGCAACAGATGGATTCACGAAATCCTCACTGAGCCTCAAGACTTTCCCTGCCCCCCCTTCCCATTGGGCTCAGTCACCTCGCTACTCGCATTGCGCGACGGGACTAGAAGCGCTCTTTAAAAGCCCACGCAGGCAGGGACGCACAAATCGCACTCCGGCCGGAGACCTCATCGCGTTTGCGCGCAGGCAAAAAGGCGCAGCCATTATGGCTCAAGCCTTCAGTTGTCCGCTGACGTTCGTACGTACGTACGTACGCGCCCCAAACTTTTTTCGCGCAGTACATAGCCGAACCGTGCTCATCGGAGGCGCGGAGCTTCGGATCACGCCGAGTCACTCGACGCGACCGCCGTCGCAACAGGAGGTCAAGTCCCCTCTGATTGAGGGTATTTGGTCTTCTCTTCTACGCCGGGCCAGCCATCCCGGAAGGAGCGGTTAGCACACCCGCACTTTACCCCACCACACGTGAACTGCCAATCCGGCCGTAAAATTCGCGCAGGTAATTTGCATGCAATTCTTTCGTACTACTTGTATGCGGTACATTGGCACCTCCGATTACGCACGGTTGGCCACGTGCGAAGCGAAAGAAATTCGACGTGCGCACGTGCTTACGTTGCAAATCATCGACTCCCACGCGCGGCTTGCGATTGCGAGAACCGATTTCGACCGGCGAATCGACGCGCGGTTACGATCCGTCGTTTCGGCGTAAATGAGCGAGCCTTCATTCAGTCGTGGATGGAGCACGGAACGATGATGATGAGGATGATAATGAGGATGGTGAGGGCAGACCCGGGTCAATGTGGTGATATTTCGAGGCAATAGAGAGCGGGGAAGGGTTGCTTTGTTGGCAAATGGAATTTGAACGAGAACAAATAAATTGGACTTGGCCATGACGCCATCGTTACACTGCGGCGAGAAGCAGACAATGCTGGGAGTGGAATGACGGCCAAAGGTGCGAGCATGCACACGAGGCTTTCATCCAGCAGCGGACAGAGCGGGAATGATCATGATGACGACGTCGCAGAGACTGGGTTGAATGAAACGTGTAATGGAAGAAGAGTGCCCTCTATCACGCAGAGCTGTTATGACAGGTGGAATGCCAACAACTGTTTAATTCGAGAAAATGAGTGAATTCTCCAACAACGTGACAAAACGAGATCGTGCTCACTGCAATATAATGTTTCGATTTAAAGCTTCTTTCGTGACTGCAGGGATTTATATTCTTGGTTCTTTCGGTAAAGTCACGTAGAAGGGAAATAATAAAATAATAAAACGTTATAAAATTCTCACGACGTTTCGGCCACAACGCAAGCAGCCATCCTCAGGTAAAGAACAGAGCTGTCGGAAAGACAGCGTCCGACAGCTCTGTTCTTCACCTGAGGACGGCTGCTTGCATTGTGGCTGAAACGTCGTGAGAATTGTATTATGTTGTATATATATTATTTTATTACTTCCCTTCAACGTGACTTTACCGAAAGAACCAAGAATACAATATAATCATCATCATCATCCACGATCTTTCCACTGCGAGATGAAGGCCTCCCCGTGCCGTCGCCACCAGTCACACGATCTCTCGGGTGACGGGAAAAAAGCATAGGGACACACAGAGAGAGAGAGAAAACGGAGAGGTACTGGAGCCTCTGAGGCCGCGTACTCTGAAACCTTGCTGTACTTTGTTCACTACTTTTAACTTTCTTACGCCACTCGTTGCGCGCGGGTTGAAATTTACTCTGCTCGGTCGGCGTTAGCCTCTGAGGTCGTGACGGGTTTCTCTTTTCACCCCTGTTGGCTCCGCGCCCCCCTGTACCGCTCCCGTTCCGCTGCAATGTGCCATCGAGGGCGATGGCGGCACGCGAGATGACGACCGATCGGTTGACCGATTGAAACGCCGCTCGGTGTACGTACGTTGAACGTCCTTCGCGCCGCACGTAGCCGACCGCGCTCAGCGGGAGGGCTGGGATACTCACGATGACGGTGACGCCCTGCTCCTTGCAGAGAGTGGCTACGGCGCTCAGAATCACCGACAGCACGATCCACGTCGTGGAAACACTCGCGGCCCCGTGCTCCGAGCCTGCGTCGGAGGAGGAGGAGGAGGAAGAAAAAATTAACCCGTAAAAACAAAGTTTTTCACTATAAATCCTTTATATGCGTGGCATCGGGGCGGCTAGAGTCCTCTCGTCCTCTGGCTTGAGATGGCTGCCACCTATGGGTCAGATGATTGTGTGCCAGCATTAACCAATTGGTAAATAAATATTTAACATTTTTTCCCTAAACAGTGTAAAATTTAGGAATTTTTTTTCACGAAAATTCATTGTCACGCACAACGAGTCTGTGTGCAAAATGTCAGCTCGATTAGATCACGGGAAGTGGGTTAAAAAACGACAGAAAAATTTGCATGGTCCTAAGCAAGCAAGCAAGCAAGCGAACTTAATATAAAGGATTTTTAAAAAACGTCGTGATCATTGCGCGATAGCTCTCGCTAAGACGATCCGATGACGGCGATGTTCAGCCGCGTTGCTATTATGGACCTACCCTTGCGGTTAACTGTTACGTACATAAAAAGTTTGGGCTTTTCGTACTTGTTTTGTGTCGCTCGCTCACTCGCTCGATCAGTCGGCGCATCGACCGCTCGCAACGTGCGGTAACGCTCGGCACACCGACATACTGCGTCGCGTAGCTGAGATGCAACGCGCGGTAACGGTCGACTCACCGGAAAACGCCGTCGCGTAGCTGATGAAGGAGAGGAAGAAGAAGAGGGCGCACAGCAGGTCGGCGCGACCGACGACGCCGGCGACCTGGGGCAGGGCGACGGCACAACGCGGGACGCGCATGCTTAGTCACGCCACAATGCACGGACACGCACCGTGCACGCGTGTGTGTACGTACGTACGTTGAACTTCTTTCGCAGCTAACGTAGGCGACCGCGCGAATCGGAGGTGCGGGGGAAGGACAACAAAGTAAACACAAAAAGCAGTTCGAAATAAATTAGTTTGTCAATCTAGATGATGATTTAAGTGGCTTCCTAATATCGGAAGGAAGAACGTTCCAGACGGCCGCGGAGGCACATGTGAAAGCGCGCGATGTTTCAATGCATCACAACGCATGGACACGTACCGTGCGTGTTTGTGTCAAAGCGTCACAACAACAACAGCACTAGGACACTATCCTCGCGTGTGCGTTTGTGTCAATCCGTCATAACGCAATCCGACGCAGATGTCGCTCCACTCGCCACCGATGTCAGCCCTGGACCGGAATCAAACTCGGCGCGACTGCGTTTGAAGCACGTCCTGCACTGCCCGTGTGCAACCGGAACCCAAGAACGTATGGTCACGTTGCGTGCGTCACAGCAGCTTCAAGACAAAACGTGCAACAATGTAAGATTCTCTCTCTCTATATAGCGACCTGCAATGTCAGTGGTGAGCAATCTAATGGATCGGAGAGCTCATTGTGCTAATCCACTGTGACGCTGTTGAGATCCTTTCAACGTACGTGACATGCTTGACCAATGTGACGCGCGTGGCCAGTGATGGGGCCGCCGATTTCATTCACCGTGTCGTGTGCTACGATCCAGAGCTACTGCCGAAAGCACCACATGTTATATATATAAAACACATATTTTTCATAATAATGGTTTTTGGGTCAGATCGCGTTATTTATAAATGTGTCGTAACCCTCCACCACCCGACACGGCCAAACAGTAAAAAATGTGTCACGTTTTTCAAAGGACAAAATAATTCACTTCTTTAGCCCACCGGTGTGCTGATTCCAAGAACACAGGATGAGATGTTACTATCCTTCGTGCAAGCACTTCCAAGAGTTCATGAACAGTGAGCCTGGTGAAATTTGGGGAGCGCATCGTCAGTAGTGTAACCTTTGGTTCCTAGGGTGTTTCGGCCTTTCACACTATAAAAAAATATATAGTGTGAAAGGCTATTTTTTTTTAATAAATGTGTCGTAACCCTCCACCACCCGACACGGCCAAACAGTAAAAAATGTGTCACGTTATTTAAAGGACAAATTAATTGACTTCTTCAGCTCACCGGTGTGCTGAAGAGAGAATCAACAGCATTTTAAAATGTGAGTAGTCCGACGTTTCGCTGATAATTACAATCAGCTTCATCGGGCAAGAATGGTGAAGCTCTCCTGTTGCTTCCGGTCTTAAATAGAGCAGCATCAGGGTGACGTCATCATTTAATTCAATTCCATCTGGTGCAGTAATTCGAGCCTACGTGTTACACGTATTTTTTGTTTTTGTCGATTACGCCGTAGCAATGCCAGCCAGAGCCACTTTGCGTGCCATTTCTGATGCCAGCGAAACAAAGAGGCACACACTCGTGGAGTGTAGGCACATCGTGGTTAGTTTAAGATTCATCTTCTTGGTTCTTTCGGTAAAGTCACGTAGAAGGGAAGTAATAAAATAATAGCCGAAACGTCGTGAGAATTATTTTATTTTATTATGTTTTATTTTATTATTTTATTACTTCCCTTCTACGTGACTTTACCGAAAGAACCAAGAAGATGAATCCCTGCAGTCACGAAAGCTTTAAATCGAAATTTAGTTTAAGATTGCTCGGACACACTGGACTAGCGTCGGATTGAAGCTTTCGTGACTACCGTACTCATTGTTTTTTTTTGGTAAAGTCACGTATGTAGAAATAAAATAAAATGTAACTAAATAAATTAAAATACATCATGACGTTTTGAACGCAACACAAGCGATCATCATCAGGTGGAAATGTGGCAAAACACACAGCGAGGGAACACACAATGGGACACCAAGCACACAGCCCACACAGAGAACGGTAAACTGCACGGAGGCAAACAACAACAAGAAGATGGGAGACGAGAATTCAACAAACCTTATGACAACTAAATTTCGATTTAAAGCTTTCGTGACTGCAGGGATTCATCTTCTTGGTTTTTTTCGGTAAAGTCACGTAGAAGGGAAATAATAAAATAAAAAAATTTTTACATAATAAAATCATTCTCACGACGTTTCGGCCACAACGCAAGCAGCCATCCTCAGGTGAAGAAGAGATCTTTCCGACAGACCTGTTCTTTCCGACAGACCTGTTCTTCACCTGAGGATGGCTGCTTGCGTTGTGGCCGAAACGTCGTGAGAATGATTTAATTATGTTTTTAATTTTATTATTTCCCTTCTACGTGACTTTACCGAAAGAACCAAGAAGATTAATCCCTGCAGCCACGAAAGCTTTAAATCGAAACCTTAGAAACACAATGTGATGCAAAACCAGTCGGCCAACAACACAGTCAGACATGATCCTGGTTGACCACGTATTTCAAAAGACTGCTAAATTTCGTATTCAACTTCTCGGCTGGACTAGCGTCGGTTGCAAAATAAATTGTCGCTTTTCAGCATCAGTCCCGACGCTCCATGAATGTGATGCAAAGATGGAAAGCAGCTCATTGCACATGCACGACACGTGTAAATGCAGTGCTGCATGACAGGCAAATGTTTTACGTGTGTACGTGGCAATGCGGAGTATTTACGTTAGTACTCGATCTGCAATAGATTTGTGATGTGAACGCAAAGCAATGTTAAATTCACGGTCACAAATTGCTACGAAAGCACCGCCAATGCCAATTTTAACTGTAATAAATGTTGGCTCATCTGGGATTTAAACTATTGACATTAATCTCACACTCGCAGTGAGAACCACAGCCCAGACTCAGAGCCCAAGACGCCACGTGGCAATCAACTCTGAGCCACATGTACACAAAAAAGACTACCCAACGTGTTACTTGGACCACACTGGACTAGTCGTTGCAACACGACTGCGTTGCTTATTACGATTGTGCTGAACGGAGAACTGCACTTGGATAAACTGCATTCTGTTCCTGAAGAAGATACCAGCACGAGGAGTGAAAGGCCGGGCATTCTTATATAACAAACAGTTAAACACACTTCTTAGGTTTTTTTCGGTAAAGTCACGTAGGTAAAAAAATTGAATTAATAAATAAAAGTAAAATAAAATAAAAATCACGACGTTTCGGATTCAACACAGCTATTGTGCTGTGACGGTTCCACCTGAAGACGGAAGCTTGTGTTGCCTCTAAAACGTCGTGATTTTTATTATTATTTTACTTTTATTAATTTAAGTTTTCTACCTTACGTGACTTTACCGAAAAAACCTAAGAATATGAATCCTTGCAGTCACGAAAGCTTCAAATCTAGAGCTAAACACGCGTTTTACAGAAGGGAGAAAACAAATTATGTTGATTTTTGAATATCAAGATTGGAATGCAATAAAAAAATAAAATGCAGGGCTCGTCCGGGATTTGAACCCGGGACCTCTCGCACCCAAAGCGAGAATCATACCCCTAGACCAAGGAGCCAGCTCGTCTCCTTTGCGATCAAACCACCTTTTATGAGGAGCACTCTAAAGTTCATGTAAACTTGGCACTCAGCAAAGGTCAGGTTATGTGAGAATAATAAAACCTGAAGGTGACATCACTACATGTGTATGCCTGAACAAACAGTGCAACGAGTGTACGTACTGTATTGTGAAACCATCTCTCGAACCCTGACTTTTACCTTTTAAGCAATTAACAGTAAATTAAAAAAAAATAGAGGCGCTGCCCTGCAATTGCCAGCTCACACCAATGCTGTCAGAAAGGGAAGAAATTTTCGTAAAAAATATGCTCCTGGGCTCGTCCGGGATTTGAACCCGGGACCTCTCGCACCCTAAGCGAGAATCATACCCCTAGACCAACGAGCCGGCCACACAAACGCATCAACGTGTCCACAATGAGAGGTTATTGAAACGAAACGAAAAGTTGAACCCCTTGGGGGCCGTTCATAAATGACGTCACGCGATTTTGGACGATTTTTTAACCCCCCCCCCCCCTTCGTCACACGACGTCACAGAAAGTCAGACCCCCCCCCCCTCAAATATGACGTCACAAAGCTCTGCCCCCACCCCCCAAAAAAATATAAAACATGCTTCAAATCGCTTTAAACTATTGTCATTGTAGTGCGTGTTTAATGTGGCGCTGCACTCTGATGTTGTAGGAGAAAACACTTATCAAAAAGTCAATTTAATTAAGTAGAACGTGTTGTCTATATTTATTTAAAGTTGCGCATTTTGATGTGACGTCACATTTCTCACCCCCCCCCCCCTCGTCACACATCGTCACAAATGTCTGACCACCCCCAGGTGCGTGACGTCATTTATGGACACCTCCTTTGCCGATGTTGCATTTCCCAGTGGATTTTGGCTGCTCGCCATCGAACAAAGACGGTGGCGGTGACCGCATCGCGCGGCGCTTTCAGATGCGCTCCTGCGGCCGTCTGGAACGCTCTTCCTTCCGATATTAGGAAGTCTTAAATCCAGATTGAACATTTATTTCGTTAGAACTTATTTTTGTGTTTCGTTTGTTGTCCTTCCTGCCGCCATTCTCAGTGGTGCAAAACCACAATGAACAAACAAATAGACCAATTCTAGATTTGAAGCTTTCGTGACTGCAAGGATTCATATTCTTAGGTTTTTTCGGTAAAGTCACGTAGGTAAATTTTGTTTTAAAGCTTTCGTGACTGTTTTTCTGGTTAGAATTTTTTGTTGCTATTTCATTTATACCTGATGATGATTGCTTGTGTTGCAATCGAAACTTCGTGATTTTTATTTTATTTTACTTTTTTTATTTAAATTTTTTACCTACGTGACTTTACCGAAAAAACCTAAGAATATGAATCCTTGCAGTCACGAAAGCTTCAAATCTAGAGCTAAACACGCGTTTTACAGAAGGGAGTAAACAAATTATGTTGATTTTTGAA